AGCGGGAGGGGTCAGGGTGCTGTTGGGCAGGGGGGTGGGGAATCTGGCTACAAGGCGGGGACAGGAACAGCTCGGCCAGTAGCTGGGGATCTCACAGCGTGCTCTGCTCCTCCCCGCAAACAGCCAGCGTGCTTCCTGAAAAGCCAAGTCTGGTACATAGCCAGGGACTTCCTTCCCCCTGCTGCCTTCCTGCGGTGGTGGAAGGGGAAGTCCCAGGCTGCGCGCTGGAGCCAGCATCTGAGGAGGCATGTGGGCTGCTCCTCCCCCAAACAGCTGGTGTGCTTCCTGAGAAGTTGAATCTGGCGCGCAGCCAGGGACTTCCTTCTCCCTGCTGCCTGCCTTTCTGCATGGGGAGAGCAGGGGGTCCCGCTGTCCGGGACATCCTTCCTGCGCAAGGAGGAGGAGGAGGTCCCATAGAATTTGAAATCTGTACTCTTGCTTTTCATCATGAGTAACACTAATTCCAATAGTTATTTCAAAATAATGGTAGTGTGAGTGTTCTGGTGCCACTATTTCAAACTAATTACTTCCCAGAGTAATCTGAACTAATTACTCCCCAGTGCTTCCTGGGGCTCTAAGTCCGAGGCAGGACGTCCACATTAATGGAGCCTGCCTCGGACTAATTTTGAGGTTTCCCCGTAGTGTGGTCATGCTAGTTCAAACTTATTAAATCAAGATTAAATTGAATTTAGTAATTTCAAAATACTTTCCTAGCGTAGACATGGCCTAAGACATTTATGGTTTAGTCTGACTGCCTGCTTATGCAGGACACAGAATTTCACCAATGATCCCTGCATGTAGCTTCCGTAACCTGTGGCTGACCTACAACATATCTTTTATAGATCATCTTGATCTGAGGTCTCACCATGATAATTTGCCCCATCCTTGATAATGTTTTCCAACTGTTACTTAACATATTAAATCTGCATCTAATTTCTAGATTTAAAGTGTTGCTAACTTAAACTTTCAGCTACTGGATCTTGCCAAACCTTTGCTCCTAGCTAAGGGATTTTGTACCATATCTGAAAAATAAGCAAGCCTGTCTTGCATGATAGAAGTGCTGATGATCAATTTTGGCTATATAAGACACACAAAAAACTCGTCAAAATTCTTTGCTACTATAAATCTAACTTAATGATATACTCCACTACACTATTACAAGCATCAGGTCACTAAAACCATTCTGACTTGTAAAGAGTTAAGTAGCAAGCACCACAGTAATTTTTTTGCTTTTTATCTCAAATGTACTTACATAGCATGAAGAGCTTCCCACTTTAAAATCTCTTTCCAAGCCTGCTCATTGTTCTGATTATGAATCTTAATAATATTACTCATATCGTTGGGGTTTATGTCATCATCTTTCCACCTCCATCTAAGAAAGGAAAACAATTTTGGAAATTTTAACAAATATTGGAGCTTAAGTTGCCCATTTCCATTGTGAAGTTAAAGATCTGTCCCAAGATCACAGAACAACTCTGTCAAAGTAACAATTCCTAAATTGCTAGCTTCTAGTCCCATGCTTTGTCCTCTTAATTATTGAATTTTTTATGTACAAATTATAGTTATCTAACATTAAATCACAGCTTGACCAAATAAACAGCATGTGCTACATTATGGCATTAAAACGTGATTAGGGTCTTAGTGTTAAGATGGTTTATAATAAATTATATTATGTACAGTTATAAGTGTACAAACCAGCTCTACAAGCCAAATACACAGAGAAGCCCTGGAATCCCAGTAAATACATTTTATTCCTTTGAATACAGTGCTATAAATAACGACTTAATTAGACCTTAAAAAGATGAGTTTAAATATGACAGTTCCAACAAGAAAACACTTTAAACACATA